AGTTACAATTTTTATTGAAGATATATTGCAATCTGTTAAGAATAAACCGCAGTGCCCCAAGTCTCATCGTTATTCATTTTCACAATTTGTTAGGAATTCTATCCACTACCGCCCTGTTTCCCCCTTTCTTTCTATTTAGTGCATCCCGTCCCACTCGGCCCTGCCGTGTGGGCAGCGGTTATGTTTAAAATAATTACACATTATTCTGATATTAATACATACACGTAATAGCATACAATTTCATATTTCTTGCACACTCCAATCCTTTAACGCTTAGATGCAATTAAAATCAATTTCCAACATCCTTCCACGTCGTATGTATGATGAAAGAGTGGTGCAAATTATCATTCGCTAGCAGTTCACATTAGACATAAAATAAACCACTCACTAGGAGTATTTATTTACAGTGGTGGTTTCAGTATAATTTGTAGTAATGTCAATGAGTCTTCTATTACACATTACATTTCTTCAGACTGATGAGTGATTCAATTAGTCATCTGGTGGCTCAGAGCGAGGTCGCTAGCCTTTCGCCCAGAATATCCGGGTTCGATTCTCATCGAATCCCGGACAATCTCATGTTCCAACAAAACCAGTTTGGCTGCTTCACAAGGGCTAGTCCAACCCCAGCGAAGTGCCCTAAACCTTACCCAATCCTAATTCCTTCCCAATTCTGGTTGCTGGGTAGTGACGCAGGAGGCGCGTACACGAAGATGCCACCTGGCGGTCCTCTTGGCAACTGTCTGCGACGAGATGTGACGGATATTTCAAAGTAAAATAATTCAGGGAGGATTACTCGAAAGCGCTCAAAGCTCTCCACGCTCCCGAAAGGGCTTAGAAACGCATTGCGTCAATTAAAGAGGCAAGAAATTGAAAACAAAAAACTGCCAAAGTTAATAGACCCATAAATGTAGTTCACGTTTTCGAGATCGGTTGGGATCTGCTGTTATTATCCTGAACGCCTGAATTGATCAGACATTGATTGACGACACATCTTGTCAAAGCATGTTTTAGGACCCATTCTCTCAAATTGATGTTATTTCGGATTTAAAAGAAACGCGTGTGTATAATTAAGACTAAAACTTTTACTTTCTCGCATACGTACGTATATACGGAGTAATATACATAGTATAGGGAAAGTTATGTAGTGCGGAAAATTGATTTCGAAATTTTAACGGAAATACAGGTTTTGGGTTCCCGTGATACCGAAAAGGGTTTTTTTTTCTTTTTTTCCAAATGTCCGTCCGTTGGTGAACACTTCTAGCGCCTAAACCATGCGTAGGATTTTTCCCTATTTGAAGAAATCCCTCTGGCCATCTGGCTCTTGTCGAATTTTTTAGATTTAATTATTTTTTTTATTCTACAAAATTGCACCATTTTTTTTTGTGTGTGTGTGTGTACATTTCTTGTAAGAATATAGTAAAATCTACTTATAAAGATGCATATGTCCGATTTTCCCTATTAACTCAGAATTTTCGAATATTGCAAATGTTTTAATTTATTCGGCGTCTTCCTTTAACTACAAAATTAAAGATGGTGATTTTTATTTCAAATGAAATTTGTATCACATAATTAGCTCATTCATTAATGTTATGTAAATTGTTTTTTAAAAATTTTAGTAGTTTTCGCACTATTGCGTAAAATATGTGCAATAATAAAAATAAAAAAAAATTCTCAAAAACGGCTCCAATTTTTTCTTTAAACTTTTTGTAGATATCGTGCCTAATGTACTCTATTAGACAACATAAACGCCATTTGCTCTATTCTTTTGTTTTTTCAAAAATGTAATTTTTTTCTTGTCTCTCATGTCGTTAATCTTTACATTAGCGATGATTTGTTTCCAATATTGCCCTTATGAGCTCATGTGCTTCAAATGGATGTTTAATAATGTTTCTTAAACACTCCATTTTTCTGTGAAAACGAGCTCAAAATTCCGAATTTTCTGAAACGCTGACAATGCCATGTTCAATGTGTCATTGATAAATACGACAATTTCCATATAGAAAGAGGTTTTACTGGTCTTTAATATTTTAAATGTAATATTCAAAATATATCATTAGAAAGCCGGAAATTTTAGAAAATTAAAAAAAAAATGTAATTTAGGGCGGCGATAGTTGGTAGCCATCAAGAGAGTGGAGATAAGACAGTAAAGCTAGCCCACAGGTTTTGGGATCCCCTGATTCCCAAAAAGGGTTTTAAATTTTAATCCCCAGTAAATCAGCTTCTTTGGGGGTACTATACACGAAGCCGGTGACATTTTCAAAATTTTCTAAAAAATGGCGCCAATTTTTTTCTTTAAATATCTTGTAAGAATATGGTAAAATGCACTAACAAAGGTGGTATATGTCCGATTTTCACGTATAACTTTGAATTTTCAAAAAGTGCAAAAGAAAAGATTTTTTCGGCGTCTTCCTATAACTTCTAAATTGATAACACTTTTTCTTTCAATTTAAATTTGTGATCCATGATTAGTTCTTTCTTTAATCTCTTTTTTTGAAAATTCTAGTAGTATCCACTCACAATATGTGAAATATTAAAAAAAAAAAATACTAAAATAGGATTTTCTCGAAAACGACTCCAGTTTTTTCTTTGAACTTTTGGTTGTGATAGCCCTAAATGTACTTTACGACATAAACTTCGAATTACTCTATTCTTATTTTTTTTCAAAAATTACATGTAATTTTTTTTACTCGTTTCTCACGTCGTTATAATTTACATTAGCGTCGAATTTTTCAGATTATTATATTTATTAGTACATATGCGTTAAATAATGTGGTATAAAGTTTCTCGAAAACTCAACAGTTTTTTGTGAAAAGGGGATCAAAATTTGCCGTTTTCAGAAACGCCCAAAAGCCAGTTTTTCGAAAATTGTCCCAATTTTTTTTCTTCAAACATTTTGTACAGACAGTGCTAATTGCACTGTTTAATATGACATAAAAGTCATTTTGCTGTCTTCTTTTGTTGTCGTTTTTCTTACTGTGCAAATTGATTATTTTTAAATATCTCTTATGCCCTCGATATGCACTTCCAATGATTTGTATTCATTATTGCATTAGTGAGTCAATGTTCTTGAAATGTCATCAAATGAAGTTTTCGACAACCCAAAAGTTTTCTGTGAAAAAGAGCTTCAAATTTCGAATTTACAGTAGCGCATAAACGCCATTTTCTTAAAAACGACTCCAAATTTTTCAACAAAAAATGTTTACATAGTACTATGTTTTTCTTTTCTTTAATATTCTTAAAGTTATATTTCAACTGTACCATTAGGAAACTAAAAATTAAGAAAATGTGAAAAAAATTAACTTTGAGCTGCGATAGATGGCTTTTTTTCCCTTCTTCTTCTTCTTCTTCTTCTTCTTCTTCTTCTTCTTCTTCTTCTTCTTCTTCTTCTTCTTCTTCTTCTTCTTCTTCTTCTTCTTCTTCTTCTTCTTGTTCTTGTTCTTCTTCTTGTTCTTCTTCTTGTTCTTCTTCTTGTTCTTCTTCTTGTTCTTCTTCTTGTTCTTATTCTTGTTCTTATTCTTATTCTTCTTATTCTTATTCTTCTTCTTATTCTTCTTCTTATTCTTCTTCTTCGTCTTATTCTTCTTCTTTTTATTCTCCTTATTCTTATTCTTATTCTTCTTCTTCTTCTTCTTATCCTTCTTCTTCTTCTTCTTCTTATTCTTATTCTTCTTCTTCTTCTTCTTCTTATTCTTCTTCTTATTATTCTTATTATTCTTATTATTCTTATTCTTATTCTTATTCTTATTCTTATTCTTCAAATTGAAGAAACCTCTCTCCATCTGGCTCGAGTTGAAAATTTTGATATTTTGAAAAACATTTCAAAATTTGTGGTTAGTTTACACAAAGCACTCCGAACATTTTCAAAATTTTCTCAAACGACGGTTCCAATTTTTTTCTTTAAATTTCTTGTAAAAATAGAGTAAAATACACATATCAATGTCACATATGTCAGATTTTCTCGGTTAACTCTCAATTTTTGAAAATTGTAAAAGTTTGCAATTGCTTCATGTAACCCAAAATTTTAAAGAGTTTTTTTCAAAATCTCGAAGATTCGACTCAGATGGACAGGGATTTCTTCAATTAGGTAAAAATCCTAAGCATGGGTTAAGCACTAATGGTATTGACACACAGACTTTTGAAAAAATTGACTTATTCAGTATTCAGGGAACACCAAAAAGGGTATTTTCATTGAAATCTCGAAATCGATTTTGCACAGCATTACATAACTTTCCCTATACATGTACTCTGTGTATGTATATATACTATATACATATATGTACTATGTACTCCGTATATACAGGAATGTAAAAGTTATCTGTGTAAAGTGTGGTTTATATTTTGAAATGAACTGCAGATAACTTATAATTTTGTTTATATATCATGTTAAGTTACAAATTACAATTCAGAAAAGTACACCATTTTTATGTCTATTTCAAATTTTGGAATAAAATTAAAATGTAGTTTGTTTATAATGTGTATAAGAAGCCTTGTTTTCAAAACTACCTTTTTCCGGTTCATTTTTCTGCATTTGTTATAAATTTGTTTATGAGAGAGAATAATATAGCTATAAGTTATTCCAGTAATAAGTACTTTGTTCTAGTCACTGTTCATAAGCCTTAATTGATACTGTTGCTTTATTTTAAGATTTTTGTTAAATTTTTCATTGTGCTGTATATTTAGAAATTACTTGTTGTTTTTTAGTGAATGTGTACTTTTTGAATAAAATCAACCTTCATTTAATTTTAGTTAAGGTAAATGTGTAAGTATCCAGTGTAATGAAGTACTCTCCCTAATATTAGTGTGAGGACTTCATTGACATTCTGACACTTCTTGAAAAAGTAGGTTACATTAGTCCAACTTTTTAAAATGTTTTCTGACATTCAATTGTGAAATATTTTCCTTACAAAGTTGTGTAGTCATTACTTTCTAACTACCAAATTAAATAAAAGGAAACAAATAACTCTTTCAATTTCTCCAAATCTTTTAATCTTTTTCAACAGGTGAAGAACGTAGTGGTCGCAATGCTGAAGAAAACACTACCTCGAGCACCAGTAGTGGGACAGCTACAAACAGCAACACAACTACAGGCAGTAGTGAAAGCAGTAGGAGAGAACGTCGGAATCGCAGTGATCGTCGAGATAGAGAACGTGATCGAGATAGAGACCGAGACAGAGAAAGAGACAGAGATCGAGAACGTGACAGAGAGAGACGTGAAGAACGTGAAAGTTCCAGTGGTAATGGAACTAGTAGTCAATTATCACAAGCAGCTGGACAACAGCAAAACCAACAGCAGCAGCCACAAACTCATGCTGCACCACAACCAGCACAAACTTCACTTGTCAATAGTTCTACCAGTAGTATGCAGTCCTCCCCTACCCAAATTACTCCACAACCCCAAGCCATTGGTCCACCAGGTCCTCACAATAGCATGTGGGGAGGAATGATGGGACCAATGGGTTACCCTATGATGGGTATGAATATGAATATGATGAGTGGTGGAATGATGGGTGACCCAAGTATGATGGGCATGGGTCAGATGGGCCAGGTTTGTATGAAATGTTGTCATTGGATAATGTATATTGTTTGCCATTATTCTCTTTATGAATTTTTGTTGTTACACTTGCCATATTTTTTGCAACTATGTTAATTTGTAAGAAAAGTGACAATAATTGCAATTTGTAAGTTTTGGAGCTATTTTAAGTAGAATGAAAGATAGGAGTAAGGAAACATTGAACTTTGTTTTGCAGTTACGTTTCATTGCAGAGGGTGGCCAATTAATGAGGGGTTTTTGTTGTTGTTTTTTTTATACCCAATGTCTCATTTTAAACATGCCATGAAGTTACAAACATTTACTTTGGGAGAAAATTAAGTCAATTGTTCTCTGAAATGATGCAGCTCCACTTGTAACTACAATTTTTTTTTTGACAAAATTGATAAGAGAACCTCAGAGGTGTGGTTTGTCAGCTTCACAAATCATGTTGTGATTATAAGCACTTAAAATCAGTAATTTGGAATATTTTATATTGTGCTGTTGTATTAACAGTTTCAGCCCTGAGACTTTAACATCATATTAATTCCAGATCCTGGCCACTTTGAGACATTTTGTTTTTTTGTTGGTTTTTTTTTTTATGAAGGGAAAAATTAAAAGTAGAGACATTAAAAATTCACGGAAAATAAAACTTAAAAACTACTGAACCAGGGGAAAAAATATAGATTTGGGATATTTAATGAAACTTGCACACTATTAATTTGAATACAACCCATTTTGTACTGTCCAAACAAATTTCTACACATGCAATCTAGGTAATTCAAATTACAATATATACATGAGAACTTAGGCTTCTTCAGTCTGAGTCAATATATACTTGATTGTCTAGGAGATGCTGCGTCCTAGGGTAAATGCCAATGTCCACCTCTGCATTTTGCCCTGAGGAAGGTCAGAATATGATGGCCAAATCATTGGTATCTGAGAGAAATGGGAATAAAGAAATTAATTTTTAATGACATCTGGCAACCCATTTTTTTTATATGCGTTTAACAAATTGTTTACCAAACATTCCACATTTTCTACTCTGTGATTACCTAAAAAACTTCTATCATGGCGTAAAATGATGTCCATGCGCACAGTTCTTTGTCCTTAAGTTTTTGATCAATGTTTTGTTTTTTCATTAGAAGGCGTATTTGTGAAAAGTTAAAAATCCATTCCTTTAACTTTGCGTCTCTTAATTTTTTAAAAAATTGGCTTTAAATTCCAAAATACTTCACCATTTTTATTCATTATCATCACAAACTTTTTCATTAGCAGAGATTTGTACATAGGGGAGGTGAAATACTGTCAGTTGGACTTTAATTTTGAGGCAAAGGAGGAAGTATAGCTTCGCCATGAGGTATTGGTTTCATTACAGAATTTATAGTAGGGTAGTCGACATTATGGTTGAATATCTTCAAACATCCTCTTAAATCATTGAAGAAAAAGTAGCAATCATTGTAGTGATTACTAGGTTTGCACCTGTGTCTATATTTCAAATGGCATTTACTTATATGGATGAAACCTATCGGTGTGTACTTCAAAAACAAGATGTAATGGAACCAAAGGACATTACTGCTAATATACTGTAACTAACAGAAAGCTATAATAGCAATCAGTTTTTGGTACCAAAATTGTGTCACGCAACGTAATCAGAGTACATATATTGACATATACGCATTATTATGGTATATTGAAGTACAATCTGCAAAGGTTGGCATAAAGTATTTTCATATTTTTTTGAGTAAAAAACAATTTATATATTAAAGTTTATTTCATTAATAAACTCAAATGTACTAAAAAAAAAGTTAACAGTTCTCATTCGTTGGCCAATCACTGTATAAGTTCTAAATTATTTGATCAAAATTCTCACTTATTTTTTTAAAATTAATTGAAAATAATTTGGTAACAGTTATAAGTTACTTTAGTGATTTCATTTACTTTGAACATTTTTTTTTTTTTTTTTTGTTTTAATTTTTGTTATTGTGCAATCATGTTGCAACTGTTATAGGTATATCTTGTGTATGTTGATAGTATGGCATGATTGGTGGAATGATGCCGGATGGAACAATAATGGGCCCAGATGGTACAATGATGCCTGCAGATCCCACAATGATGGCTGGAGCACCAATGGCAAAAGAAATAATTCATTGTAAATCTTGCACATTGTTTCCTCCAAATCCCAATGCTCCCCCGCCAACTACGCGGGAACGCCCTCCAGGATGTAGAACAATTTTCGTTGGTGGTCTCCCTGAAAATACCACTGGTGAGTGTGCAGAAGAAGAAATCATTCAGTGCTGCCTTAGGATGGGAGTTCAGGTTAAAGAGCCCAAAGATATATGCTCATTGATTTGTTGTTTTTTTTTTTCTCTCTCTCTACTTTTTCAGAGGAAATAATTAGAGAAATCTTTGAACGATGTGGTGAGATGACAACTATACGATTAAGCAAGAAAAATTTTTGTCACATTCGTTTTGTGTTTGAAAATTCTGTGGATGCTGCCATTTATCTTTCTGGTATATAACTCAAATAAGTGGAATTCTCAAAACTTATTTCATTATTATTTTGATTTCCAAGGTTTTGCAGTAAATTGTATTTCTGAAATCTGGTTCTACCATTGTTTAAAATATTTGTTTAGGATATCGTATCCGAATTGGGTCCAATACTGATGCTCCAAATACTGGTCGTTTGCATGTTGATTATGCTCAAGCAAGAGATGATTTGTATGAATGGGAATGTCGACAAAGAGCTCTGCAGCGGGAACAAAGGCATCGTGAAAGAATGGAACAGGAGAGGCTGAGACCTCCATCACCCCCTCCAGTTGTGCATTACACTGATCATGAGGCAATAGCAGTGTCTGAAAAAATAAAGGGTAAACTAGAACTTGACAACTGATAGTTTTTGAAGCAATATGGAAAGCTACATTTGTTATTAGTATTTGTGATTTCAGCTGATGAAACGTTCTCCAAAGCAGTTCAAGTTGTTATTACATGGCTAGAACGTGGAGATTGTAACAAGAGGAATGCAAATACATTTTACACAATGATACAATCTACTAATTCTCATGTCAGACGCTTACTTCAAGAGAAAGGTGCTTATGAAGAAGAACTGCAGCGTGCACGTGAGCTTATGAAAGGCCGAATGCAGGGAATTCTTATACAGTGTGAGTACATGAGCTTCTGTAGAATCAGTTAAAGAATTGAAGAGAAAGCAGTTTGAAGGACATTACATAAATCTGTTTTCAGAGAAAATCGTCAGAAGAAACACATAGAGTATTTTTTGCTTTGACCTGCTATCTTTAACTTCTCTGACTGTTTTCATTAAGCTGCTGTTTTTATCAGCAGCGAATAACTTTTTCATTTGGGAATACCAAAAACGTAGAACACAAAAGGGATTTAACACATTTATAGGACCTTCCTGAAATACTTTTGACTCCCCCTCTCTCGAAATCTACTTATTCTCTACACAAGATCTAAAAAATGTATTAATGACTATTCATATAACTATTTACTTCTCATATATTTTTTAAATATAAAAAATTAAATCCGTTTTCATTATTTTATGAACCGTACTATGTGATAACATTGTATTTCATTGGTCTGTTTAAAAAATCTTAAATTTCTTGATTAACAATTTAACCTCTTATCAATGAATGTGACTGCATTTCTTTTAACTAGTACAGTTCAAGTCAAAACTGTTCTCATTGTACAGGATGTTTTCTTTAAACAGAAAACTAAATTTTTGTATTAGGCCATTAAACATGTTAGATACTGTACTCATAAAATTTGTTTTAATATGCAAAGAATTGAAAACAGTCAGGTAAGATTCTGAGATTGCCAACAGTTTTAATAGTGGTGGGTTATTTCAGTTATATAGTGTTTCTCAAAGTGTTGTGTAACACTTCTATAGATTACTATAGAGGTATATTTCTTAAATTAAATTATTTCCATGTTTGGCACTAGGTAAATGAAATGGAACTCTCTAGTAATATTTTTCATTTATGTCAAAAAACAGCACTATTTGAGAATCACATTTTTGGGTGATTTAAGTGGTGAAGGGTAGCATGGGATTGCATGACTTATTGAATAAACTAATAAAACAATATGTTCAGAAGAATTGTTTAGTTGCAAGTTGCACTTCAGTGTTGGTGGTAAGTATTGATTAAAGGGAAAACAAAAAGATATGGGTAGATCTACAATTTTCTTGTAAATGCAAGACCATGCATTTTGGTGAAGATCTAGATTAATTACAAATATTAATATTGAATTTAACTTGAAATCATTTTACAACTCAAGAACTCATTTTGCAGTAAATGCATATAATATGTATCATATATGCATGCTTTTGCAATATATTGAATTAGTTATTTCTGAACATTTGATTTACTCAATGACAAATCCAGTTCTTCAGAACGTGATGTTAGTGTTACGGTCATATCTTTATTTACAGTTCAACATCAGGTAAGTTTACATGCAGGCACTTTTGAAGAAAAAGATAGGGTCAGGGAAAATACTTCATTTTTTACTTGCTGCTAGTTAGGCTATGAAATAAAGTATATTTAAATATATTTAGCTCTTAGTTGTGCTCATAAGGTTTTGTTTTTGTCAAGATAAGCTTCTATGTATTAAATTATTTAAAATGGCTGCTCAGTTTACTTGAGCAAGTGAAAAATACTTTTTATTTCATAGCTTATCTTCAGCAGAGTATACTCATTCTTTTGCAACATTAAGTTTGGTGAGTAAATGGACATAAAGAAAAAGTCAGTCAAGTCAACCTGCCAGACATGGAATTTTGCTGGTGCATTTAAGTAAAAATTCAGGCTGCTTTGTACTAGGCAAGGGCACTGCTGAGCTGATTCTCCAGGGGAACCAGAGGGTTATTTGAAAGCAATAAAAAGGGTACAGTACTTTACAGGTTGTGCAACATTCAGGATTAATGTGAATGGTGTATTCAAAAATGCATTAAAAATACTAATCTCAAGCTTATTGTTCATTGCCGAAGCATTTGTCGTATGAAAACTTTATGCTGTAAACCATTTGCACAATCCATATCTTGCACAACCTCCCTGAGTCTTTGACCTCGGAGGACTTGCTGCCAGGATCCAGAAGGGTGTTGCCATTTCTTCTAACTGTGCTTGTCTCTCCTCACCGGTCAGTCGGTCAGATCGAGAGGGTATTCTCGGCTGCCAGCCACAAGAAGGTTTGGGACCATTTCACCAAAGCCCAGAGAAAGAACATTGAGATGTGGAAGAAACAAACATCGGTATGTACTAAGAAAGTTTCACAAAACATGCAGTAATGTCTACAAACATTTCTAAAAATGATCTACTATAAAGTGATAGTACCATGATTTTCAAACTGTTAAAAGAAAGATTGGAGGATTTCTCTAAGTTACATTTTTCTATAGTAGACATTACTGTATTCAATAAGCATTTAGGAATTGCTGAAGTGTTATGTCCTCTTCTTGCAATGTTCAAGTGTTATTGACATTATTTTATGATAACTAAATTAATTAATTTGAAATTCAGAAATTAACAATTATTTATTCCATAGGGCATTCAGTAATTCCTAAATAGCTGTTTTGTTATGTGCATAAATAATTTTCCTGTGAATGTGAGACAATTCAGATTTTTAAGTTCTTTGACATGACCATCCTTGATGTTTCCCAAGAGCTTCTTGCATGAGTTAATCTAATATTTATACATACACAAGGTGGGTATGAGACCATCTCTTATTTCCTACGTGTACTGAACGTGCTCTGTTCAGAAAAATCTTATGAAGTCCCATATTTATGCTCTGTATTTTTCAAGAACATTGTTCATATCATAGTGGAAATATACGAGGTGTTGCTGATACTGCAGAAAGTTCTGTAAATTGTGGAGCAAAAGGAAGAAATGAAAAATTGTTTACTCCACAGAAATAATTTTTCAAACATTTTAAGTGTTGCCTCTTTGCTTTAATGTAACATCTTTAGAGAGAACAGGGTATTAATGAGAATAAATGTGTAATTCCCATTTGCAGATCACCGATATTGTGTAATAGAGGATCAGAAAATGTATCAGATACATTTTTTCTGCTCTTGTTCTTCAAAAATTTAAATTAAAAATAAATGATTGGATCACATTGGGAGAAGGTGTAGTTTATTAGATAATTTCATGTGTAATGATGCAATACTTAGTTTGATCTTATCCGGTAAAATAATTCATTCAGAGTATGGTTTAATACATTATTGTATTTCTCATAATAATTCTAATTTTCTAAATGATTACAATAAATAAACATTTCTTGTTTCTACAATGAAAACTTTCTGAAAATTGTAATAAAACCAGAACATACAATTTTATTTACATTTGTCATTTTTCACTATATTTATTTACATTGTTGCTTTCATGTGGAATCCTTGGATTGACACCTTGTTTATTCCACCATGATTTAGATGTTCTTTGTGCTTTTGAACTGTCTTCCATTATTGCAATTAGCTCTAAATGTATTTATTACATTCACAGAGTCTCTGGATCAATGGAACAAATGAAGTTTACTGATATTTTGTTTAGGATTATTAATAGTTTGAAGGATTGTGCATATTCCTTTCCTAAATATTTCATATGAATATGGCAGAAGTAAATATTCTTGAATTTTTGTGTGTGTATTAATATGTTTCTGAATTGCAAGTTAAGTGAAAATTGGAAAATGTATCTACTTTTGCAAAAGTCATGAATGATTATTAGTGTGTTATTTGCATTTTACTTCTGCCATGTTGGTATTTTTGTGCTGTTTGGTGGTGGATGGAAAGTGTTTGAGATTTAGTGTGCAATTGAAATTTTTAAAAAGTGTATATTACAAAAATAGAATTTAAGTCTTAGTAAAGTAAAAATTTGTTCATAGTATCAGAGACTCAAAGACACAAATTGTAGCATCTTTTCATCTATTTTGTGAATGTAGATTAATGTAAAGTTATGCAAAAAATATATATTTAGTTTGTGATCTTATAGTTTAAAAGCAAATTACATTCATGTTTTATATGCAAAACATATGAGAAAAGTTACTGCTACACTTTGTGTCTGTGCTAATGTCTCTTCAGCTCTATGTATCCATTTTATGTGGAAAACAATTCAGAAATATTAATGTTGGAGTCCCAAGCAAATCAGTATTGGTGGGCAATACATTCCTGACTTGTTTATTACTGAATTTTAAGGTAGGTGATGGGATCATACATGGACCATTGGAGTCAAATCAGTAAGTGTGGCTTTGTCGCAAAAACACTCTTTTATGTTAAGTGCTCTAATTTTAGATTCTCATATTGTTGAAGATTAAATGTTTTCTCTTATAATAAATTTATTCCATTGAATTTGATTGTGTAGTGCGTCTCCTTTTAATGGTAAGCTTATCTCAATGCTGTTTTTTGTGTGTTTATTATTTACCTGCACACTTTATTGTGCCACTGTACCTGTTTTTTAGAAAATTATTCATTGTCTATGTGATGAGTGTTGTGATGAATGAATGTTTGACTTGCACTTTCTTGGTTTTGTTCTCAGATAATTTCACTCTTGCTCAAAATGTTAAGTAGGCTTCTGGAGAGAGGGGGGGTACCAGTTTGCTTTCTAAAAGCCTTCTCTAAATTTTGAAGAACACTAACTCTTTAATAATTTACAAAATAATCAGAAATCAAAGTAGATAATTTGGTTGTTGAAAATATATGTAGATTTTATGAAAGTTGCATATTGTTTGCAGGAAATTAAGACATTACAACTGGAGGAAGTGCTTAATGAAAGAGCAGACGAAGAAATGGAGGTATCTGATGCCGAAGATGAATTTGCAGGCAGCTGTAGCAAAAAGAAAAAAAGTGGTGAAGATGACAAAGCAAATTTGGCTTCTCTTAAAGTATGTATGCCTCTAGTTTCTTTGTCTTATCCGCCCACTCTTCTCTTTCCTGTTCATTACATGTTACACACTAGTCAAATATTACAACATTACATGTTACACACTAGTCATATATAATGAAAAGAAATGAGAATGTGTAAGTTATAAAGGTAATATGACATATGATCAAAAGATAATCTGAAATTTTTAAGTTGACAAACCAGACATTTAATAGTTGTTAACACATTGTGGTCCATGGACATGAATTCAGGTCAGCTAAGGTCCAAACAGGATGGATGATGTTTCTCAACTTTAAGTGATCTCACTGGAAAGGCATCTATTATTGTTATGAGGAAGTGTATCTGTTTTATGAGTGATACTAGCATTTTCAGGGATGAATATTCACTTTGATCGGTACATTCTGAAGATTTTCAAACAGGCAAAGATTGTTGATTGCAACTCTCCAACAAAATGGTCGGGAAATGATGTAGAACTGCATTATATGGTGCAAATTAGCACTCTCTATTGAAAAAGTTTGAAGAAAAAATTTTGAGCCGTTTTTATTAAAATGGCCTGAGTGTTTCTGAAAATGCGAAATGTTCAGCTACGTTCACTAAAAACATTTGAGTGCTTGAAAAACTTTATATGACATTATTTAAAGCACATGTACTCATCAATATAATAATGTGAACAAATCGCTGCTAGTGTAAATATTAACAAAGTGAGAGAAAAGTCAAATTCATTACATTTTTGTAATTTTTGAAGAAAAAAAAAGAATAGAGCATACTAATGTTTATGTCATTACATAGAGGACATTTAGTACTATCCCTCCGAAAAGTTTGAAAAAAAAACAATTGGGGCCATATTTGAGAAAATCTTGTTTTCATTTTGTAAAATTGCCCATATTGCACACAATATTGTGTGAAAAGTACTATAATTTTCAAAAAAATGTACATGACCTTAATGATAGAACTTGTTATGTATAACAAATTTATTTGAAGGAAAAATCTCTATATTCAATTTTGTAGTTGTAGGAAGACATATGAAAAATGTTTGAAATTTTCGAAAATTCAGAGCAAGAAATTTAAAGAAAAAATTTGGAGCCATTTTTGAGAAAATTTTGAAAATTTCCGGGATGGGGAAGGGCTTTATGTAAGTACTCCTATAAATAAAATCACATACACCAGATGGATGGACATTTTGAATAAACACTTGCGGTATCAGGGGACCCCAGAACCTGTATTTCTGTTGAAATTGATTTTCTGTGGCATTAAATAATTTTCACTATACTACGTATTACCCCTATATTACTTCGTATGTATACAGGAAAGTAAAAATATGAATTTAGAGTGAAACCACTCCATTCACTTTAATTAGTAACTTTCAAAAATGGAAATGACAACAAAATAATCTGATAATTATTTAAATAATACCTTCAATTATTAAAAAATTAGTTTATTATAATTTAAAGGCATGGGTATAAAAAAGATGGTACTCTTCAAAAAGGTTGATTTTGTGATACTATAATATTTTTCACTACTCTAGTAGATCAATTGATACCTTTTAGACCTTGGTTGTTATCATTTTTATACTATTGTCTTAAACCCCTTTAACAGAAATATTAACTTGCTTATTTCTCAAAGGTGTGTGGGGTTTTACACCCAAACCCTTCAATTGCCAGTATCATCGTGAAGAGTGTATTTAAATCATTATTTTTGGACGTCATGTAAGTCGTGGCCTGAGCAGGTGGTTCATGATAAATGGAAGAAAAAAATAATGAGAGATGTATAAATAACAAAATAAATTCAACACCACCCAAGGCTTCCTTTTTATTATTAAAAGTAAATAATTGTAGTCATTTCTAATCTTAATGTTGCTGAGGTATACTAATAATTTATCCTGGAATTAAATTCTCTAGGTATTTTTATTTCTCATATTATTAGTTAATGTTTTTAAATGGATTCAATCAATCATTTGTGTGATATGTGATTGTGTGATATAAATTGAAGGTTGCTGTATTTCCTTTTAAATAAATGCTCTCTCCATTTGTCATTAAGCTACTTGACAATGCAATTGGTAATGACTTCTAACATTTTTTCTGGCAAATATAACGTTTTGTATACATTATATTCTGAAGACTTGAATGGAGTTTATGCCACTACATAAATGCAAATGGCATTCTTCTTATGAGGTAAAGTGGGAACCAGATGGCAAGCACATTTTCTAACCTTGATAATTATTGACCTGTAATTTGAACATGAGGCTCATATGTTGTATCAGTTTCAAAATATTTTTCCTCCTAAATTTGTTTATGATTTTAATAAATTTTAAATCCAAATGATTGAATTAACTAACAATATTGTTCATTAAAATTTTATTTAGGTTTCTTTTGTCATTTCTTTTGTCATCATTATAACTAATAGCAGAAAAGTATTTCCTCAATACACAGTTTTCCCTTAGTTACCCAGATTCAGTGTTTCACAGTTAAACTTAATTTTTTTTTGTCTTGTCTATTCATTTATTTATACTTTTAAAGTGACTTCTACTGTAGAACACAAAATTGTGTTGGTATAGCATTTCAGAACATTTGATCGAATTTGTAGTGTGTAATTTAATTGCTCTCTGATACAACACCACATAACAAATAATGGTATTATCAAAACATTTTTCGGAAGGTTTGCAGACATGACTGCAGAGATGGATATCTAAATGAAAACAATGACCAATTGGGAAAATGATCATTAGCACAGGAGAGAAAAAAGATTAATTTGGATCACTTTACACCTGAGCAACATATAAATAAATTTAAACGCTGCCCAGAACAGAAAAATTGAAGTCCTGAATCTGCCCTTCTGGTACAAGACTTATGCTATGCAGCAAGAAGCCAACAATTAAAACTGCCTCTGAGAGAAATGGATATCACACTTTTTAACTTAATTTTCAATCCACAAAACACTTCACTTGGCATGGTCTACTCTTGAAGGATGGACTACTCGTCAATGGAATAATACACTTGGTAGTAAGCTGGAACAACACATAATGAACTCAAATCCCTCAGTCTCTTGCTCAAAACCCCTTTCACTTCCTCCACCCTCCTCCTGTATTTTAAACCATCTTACCTCCTCCTCTGAGCCTACTCCTGATATTCCCAATCCCACTTCCAATTCCACCTGATGCTCCAGTTTCCACACAGCCTGTTACTGTTGACACACGTTACCACCTTTGGCCATGCATTTGGGGTAAAAAGGGAGTAAATATTTTATAGCAATTTCAGTCAAATGTAGGAGAGAGACATTTGAACAACTACATACAAAAAACTACTAAAGATTAAAGTACTTCCCTTAAAGTGACCTAAAAATTTGAGTATTGCAGCATTGAAAGACAGTAGAAAAACAGTTACAGATGTGTTATGTCTTATTGTCAAAGAAAGAAGATTATTACAGTAGAACTCTAGTTTCAAAATCCTTTTATACTGAACGCACGCGCGTGTGCACACACACACACACACACACACACACACGTGTGCACGCGCACACACACGCGCGCGCCCTCGCCCTCGCCCTCGCCCTCTTTTTCAAGACAATATTCTACATTACTGGATGCTATTCTATGTTGGACACTCCTGTATACACAGTACTATTTCAAGGAAACAGGCCAGTAAATGACCAGCTTCAAAGGATATTGAAATGTAGTCGGTAATTGTGCATTGAGCCACTGTGAAAATAACTAGCAGATATTGAAAAGTAATCTAAATAGACTTACATGAGTGAGAAAAATATTGAATAATATAACAAAAAATTTCCTTGAATTATAATTTTTTTTAGGAAGAAAATGACAGTTTGCGATGTCAGCTTGAAGCATATAAAAATGAAGTGGATTTGGTACGTTCAGACCTTCGAACCGAACTTGATCAGAAAGATAAACAATTAAAGATGTTGCAGCAAACACTTCAAGGAATGCAGCAGGTAAACTATTTTTCATTAAGATACCTGCTAAATAACTTTATTTATGTGTACAAAGGGAACTTAGTTTGTTTCTTCTTTGATCCCTCAAAGAAAGTAAAATAATCTGAAAATTGGGAAGAATGTTGGGTACTGCTTAGCTCCAGATTGAGGGACAGTGATTAATGCAGTTCAGACATGAATTCACTTCATTCCCCATGAATTTTCTAGCATTCAGACCATATTACTTGATGTATACGTAAGCTTCTGTGGCTCGAAGCCATGAATTCTCGGCTATCCGGGAGACGCCGCGTCGTTGGCTGGGGTGCCGACGTTGCGCCTGACGTGTCGCAGGCTTCCTCAGGGCAGTGACTTCCTCACTGCCCTGAGGAAGCCTGCAACATGTCAGGCGAAATGTCGGCACCCCAGCCAACGACGCGGCGTCTCCCGGATAGCCGAGAATTCATATTACTTGATGTTGTAAGCCACTGTGAGTCATGGGTTACCTATAGCCAGTGTGTTATTTTTATAATTGTAAAATTAATAACATAATAAAATTTTTCTATACTATACTTTCTTTACACTTTGATGGAGTTTCAACCTCCTATTATTTATATTTTTTAATATCAATGTAGTTGCATTGTTTAATATCTGTTTTCTTATATCGTTTTGACATTATTCCACTTGGAAAGTATCCATCTAATGAACTGGTTTAAAGAAAATAAAGTGGGATACAAAATATACATCAAAATTCAGTTTTTTTGTCTTTGAATGCTTCTTTCAGTCCTAGTCATAAATGTTTCAAAGGTACTCAGTTACCATAATAATAACAATTATTATTATTATATTTATTTTTGTTGTTGTATTATATTTGTTTTGTTGTTTTTGTGAATGAACATGTGATGGAAAATCTTTTGTAATGAAGTGACACTTGTGACATTTGCCCCTATTGGTAGGCAACTAGTCTTGCACCAGTGTGTGGCACTCCCTTGACTTTGGAAATTATTTCACTGGTCATTGGAACCTCCAGCTCATTTCATGGCCAAGTGTGTGTGTGTGTGTGTTTTATGATAGTTTTCTGAAATGTCTAAAGAATGAAGAGGATAGAATTTATATATTTTAATATTCGGGTCTGACCAATCAGTTGGCTTTACACCGGCTTTCCCCTCCAACTTTATACAGGCATTTAGCAGCTAAGCATGGTTTCAGATGAACATTCAAACCCATGCGTCATGAATACACCTTGGCCAGAAGTATACAATGCTCTATAGATATTGGCTAAAATGACATGTATGACAATATCGACAAATGACTTATTGTGTATGGATAAAATGAGAAATTTTATACTGTTGTAGCACCATTAATTTCTAAATGCATTATATTCGTTAATATTAGATGTTTAAATTGTGTCTTGTACATGTTTTCGAAATGTAAATAAATTTTTGCAAAATTTGTAGTTATATTCTGACAATTTTGCATTTCACTTTTTGAATCACCCCAACCTTAAGAATTTATTACAGCAGCTAAAACAGCTAAGAACTGCCATAATTTAAGGTAAAGGTGTTGCTTCAGAAACTTTATCTGTAGAGTTCAAAGCCCAGAGTGAGCTGTTTGAACTTTTTTTAAGGACAGGGCACAACACTGGAATTCAATAGAAGACGACCCATTTTCAATAAATTTGTTTGTATTTTCAAAAATTAAAGATATTTCTTGACTGTATAAAATACTACAATTTCTAAATCAGGTCTATAAACCTGATTTCATTGAGCTAATTTATGTGATGTGATAATTTTTAGCAATTAATGGAATCTAGACGCCGTCAAACAGAGGATGAAGTTAAGGTGCGAGAACTGCAAGCAAGACTCAGATCTGCACAGCAGTTAGCTGCATCAAAACAGGAACAGAATCATGGTGGGGAATCATCCGGAGAGAGTAGTGCTTCAGCTGCTGCAGGAGATGGAGGTGCCGACACAGAAGAAGATAGTAAAGCTGATGTTGCTGAAGCATCAGCAGCTGTTACATCTATTTCAGATCGTGAAGCAAAACTAATTGGTATGTTATTTGAAGAAATTGTTTATAAAAAATTGAGGAGTCAGTTCAGTTTGGAAACAATTTGTTTCTCTCAGCAGTGATAAAGTATGTTATCAGTCTCCATGAACACCATATCCAAAGTGTAGCATGGTTTGTATGTTTGAGAATACAGAACAGTAAGGCAAAAATTCAAAATTTTATGCACATGTATCAGTACATTTTCTTCAAGAACATCCACAAAGCCTTAAAAAGAGCTTTACCAAGAAGACTAAAATTTCCCTAATTATTTTCCGACACATGGAATTTTCAAGTGCAGGATGGGACGTGTTATTCTATTAATAATGTTGAATATAATAAACAACCAACTAGTGTGACCTAAAGAAAGTTCAGTAAATTGTCTTCTCAAGTACTTAGATTCATTGTTTTATCTCATCAAGAAGTCTATAAACTAATGTCACACACAAACACAACACAATGCAGACACTACAATTTCCACAAATGCATCCAAATCTCCCGACCTTTCGTAAACAAATTGTGCGATAGTTTAGCTCTAATTCACACTCACGAATGAAAACATCACCTGTGAATATGAATATTTCAGATAAAAATGAGATATAATACATGAGAATTCAACTTTTTGATCATTTATTAGGCTTTAGTACTGCCTGCTTTTTGTTATTTACACATGATCAACCAGGGAATAATGAGAAAGAAACAAATAATATTTTTTTGCACTAAATACTAAAATGCTTTTAATGTCCTTTCATGATTCCTGCAAGAGCACAAAATCACTTATCTTAGGTTTAGTGTAGTTTCATAAGCTACTACTGTTCAGTAGTACTTACCAGTAAATAGAAGTAGTTTTAGCAGAGATGAGGCGAATTTTCCCTAATTGAAAGAAGATCTTGCAGATGTTTTGGGATTACCATTGCTTGAGATTTTGAGTCCTTCATGTGTGGAATGTGAGGATGATTAACTTTCAACACTTGACAATTTTTAATCAGCCCTGACTCCATACAGTGATACTGTATTAGTGTGTTCACCATCTATTTAAGTTTTGAACTTTCACACTTAGTTGTTTTTTTCTCCAGAATACCCATCACTGAAATTTCCTGAAGCATGTATTCAATAAAATTCTTCACAATTGAGATTGATAGAACAATAGGATAGTTTGTGTATGACAGGAGCTAGGGCAACTGCTTGAAGGATTATTTATGGCAAGAAAGACAGGATCTCCATAACCCCTTATTTAAATACAAATGGAAATTGCATCTACAAATGTGCATTTTTCTGTCCTAGAATACACAATAAATGTCTCTCTCTCCCTAGGAACTTTGCATTGCAACTACATATTGTGAGACAGTAAAGTGTGTGACGCGAATTTATTAGGCATCACCTCACGTTTTGTATCTCTGTTAACTGGTTTTGTGAACTTCATTAATAAAAATAAACAATTGAATAATTTTCACTAATTCCTTAGATTGGACAAGTCATTTCAAAGACATGTTTGTTTTTTGAATTGATAAAGAGTTAGTAATAGTAGATTTTGTAGAACACATGAAATATATCTCTTATCAATTATGTTTATTAAACATATTTTGTTTTAGGTCTTATCTCTACATTTCTCCACGTCCATCCATTTGGTGCAGGTGTAGATTATGTTTGGTCATTTCTCCAGAAACTGGAACCCACTTTGCGCCCAGGAGAGGTAGAAACTCTAATGAGTCGTTTTCCCACAGTTTTCCGACAAGAACTTTCTGGAATTGGTGCAAATATGGAAAGGCGTTGGTTATTTGCTGGATTTCAGAGTGGCATTTAATTGTTACTGTGGACAGTAAAGAGTACTTAGTTTTTTATGTTGAGCATGTATTTTCATACATGGCATTTATTTCTGTGATGTGTAGTATTGTGAGAAATTATTGCTATCAAAAATATTATAATGTAATAAATGTAATTAATAAGAGTGGCTCTCTTTGTCAATTATTTGTAGAAATAAATTTTAAAAATGTGTTCAGGGAAGTGTTCTTTATGCATGTGCAATGCTTTTGTTTCCCTGTTTAAGCATGTATCTAAATACCCAGAATGATTGTAAATTTTTTAAAAAATATGTGTAATTCATAAAATGCATACCATTATTTTCAAGTGTTGTAAAGGTCTATGAATATTTAAATACTGAAAGCTCTATTAGTTTGTCTACCTTGTAATTTATTTTCTGGTAATTTCTGAACAATAATAATAATAATAATATATATTGAAGGAATAATTTCATGTTTCTTCCTGTCGGTATTCAAAGCATAATTTTAGAGATAATACAAAGTAACATTGATTATTTTGTAATACTATAGTAAAACTTAACTTATTTGTATTTCAGCGGACTGAAGGGGAATAAATGTTTAAGTGAGAAAAACACATCCCTGAAATTTAATATTGCGAGCAAAACAACTCAATTACATTGGCACTTTCCACTCTTTGAATGTTAGTTTTGATTGATTTGATTATAGTAAAAACTGTAAGTGACATGTTGGGGAGAAATACCATCTGTGCACGTTTTCTTTAACTCCAAACTTTCTTCTCAACATTTTAACTACAAATAATTGAATGATGAATAAAAGTTTCAAAAGAAGCAAATTAGCAACTTTTGAAATCTAGACGTGTTTACTCCCAAGTTATAGAAAACTTATTTGAATCAGTAAACAAACGGCAAATTTTATTTTTGTATTGCTAACAATATAGTACTCACCCCTTTACTTCTACCACTAATAGCAAAAGATGAAATGTCCAGAAGAAAAACAAGGATCCATCGCATTTGCTCAATGGATTACAGAAACTGGACAAAAACCTGATCGAAGCTGAAGTACATTACTTTTCATTTAAAAGACACACAGCATACACATGCCTGGTAGGAAAGTTAGCACTGATACCTAAATGACGCCTCTGAGCTAAATTCAAATCGCCTATTTCAACGTCCAAAAAATACCTCCTTTCTCCGCTAGTTGGTGAAAGAGAGAATCCAGAGATTTTTTTAAATTTTGCGTAACGGAAGGTTTGTGTATTTTGTGTTGCAGTTCGCACGTATTTCGTGTTTTACTGCTACGTGTAACTGGTTGGTGTGGGTTCGTGTCGGACCTTAGTCAGTAGCCATATTGGCTTGTGTTGCACTTTGCCCGCAGGATGTCGGAGGGGTGTGCTCGTCTTCTTTACCCTAGAGTGTAGTATATTTAGCGTTTTCTGTTTTTTTTGGTTAGGCTACAGTTAACATGAAACAAAGTCTAATGGGATAAGAAATTCTTATTTATTTATATTTTTTAAGGGAAATTTTGTTGTAATTTGAATACTCTTTTACACTAGAACATGTTGTTAGGCAGAACTTATATTTACTCTTAAATGTATGAATTGTGTTTATGTCTTTAATATCATTGCCTAGTTTGTTGTAAAATGTAATGCCCTCTATTAGGGTACTTTTGATAAAGTGTAGTTTCAGAGTGGCGAACATGTAGGTTATTCTTTTGACGGGTGTTGTAGTTGTGTACATCAGAATTTAAAGTAAAAGTGTCTTTGTTTTCCATGAGAATTTTCTTTGTGAAGACCACTATTTCAAAAATATATATGCATGGTAGAGGAAGAATCCTTAGTTTATTGAACAAAGTTTTGCAAGAGTCCAACTTATGAGTGCTGGTCATTGTTCGCAATATTCTTTTTTGGATAATAAATGTGCGAGTGCTTTCAGGGGCATTTCCCCAGAATATTATTCCATATTTTAGGTGTGAGTGCACATTTGCGAAATACATGGTTGAAGTGTCTCAATGTTGGAGCTTGTCCTGAGGGTGTAGAGGGCATAGCAAGATTTGGTGAGCTTCTTGTTAAGATATGAGCATTCCATTTTAGGTTTCCTTGAATTGTTTGACTGATGAAGGTAGTTTCATGACATATCATTACAGGGTTATTGTTTATGAGCAAATGCTGTGAGAGTTTTTCTTGTTGGTGTTTATGAGTTTGTTGTCTTGAAACCATTTTACTAGTGCTTGCAGTTTTGTGAGTTTCTTTTCCTAATGATTGTTGTGTTTTTGCTTTGATGATTATGTTTGTGACATCTGCAAACAAAATTAATTTGTTATTCGTTAAAGCCAAAGGCATGTCATTTATGTATATAAGGAATAGTATTGGCCCAAGGATGGATCCTTGCGGGACTCCACAATTTATCATTTGAGGGCAGGAAGAGTATTAGGAGATTTTGTTTTCTTTAGTGTGCTGGAGGACAACTATTTGGTTACAGTTTGATAAATATGATTTAATCCATTGGCCTGCAATGCCTTGAATCCCTAGCATTTCTAGTTTTCTTAAAAATATGTGATGGTCAATAATATCAAAGGCTTTTGACAAATCTAAGAAAAGGCCAATGGGAATTTCCTTCTGATTTAGTACAACAAGTATGTCATTTAGAAAGGAGAAGATGGCTGTGTCTGTGGATCCATTACTCCTGAAGCCATGTTGTGCATTTGTAAGGACATTATTTGCATTGACAAACTGTTTGAGTCTATCATTGAAAAGCCTTTCCAGAATTTTTGAAAATCCTGATAACAGGGAGATAGGTCTGAAGTTAATTGGATCATAACTATTGCCCTTTTTAAACATTGGTTTAATTTTTGTTACTTTGAATATATCTGGAAATATGCCTGATTTTAGAGAGTAATTACAGATGTGAGAGAGTGGTTGCACTATTCATGGAGCACTGTGTTTAATAAGAAAATCTGTAATGTCCATGCCTGCTGAGAATTTATTCTCCATTTGTCCAATGATTTTAAAAATTTCAGGGGGAGTGGTTTCATATAAATATATGGAATTTATAATTTGTTTAAAATTAGTGTTTGGTTGGTGTGTTTTATTGTTTAGAGAGTGTTGAGAGATTAACTTATTACCAATTTGTGAAAAGTGTTCATTGAATATATCAGCTATTTCTTGTGGGTCTTCTACAGTTTGGATTTTGTAGTGGAGCTCTATATTTTTTGTTATTATTTGGTGCTGTAGTCTTTTTAATAATGTCCCACATAGCTTTAGTTTTATTACGTGCATTTGCAATGTATCTATCATTTGTCATAATTTTTGCTTGTTTGATTACTTTTTTAGGATCAAATTATGTTTTGTAATATGAAATGAAGTTTGAGTTTCATTTGTTAGTATTTTATGCATGTTGCGTTTTTTTTTTCACATGACACTATGATGCCTGTGGTAATTCACGATTTAGTTTTCTTATTTTGTAGCTTTTTGAGAAAAAATGGCATTGAAATGTCGCAAGTATATATTTATGAATGAATTAAACTTATCATTTGTATCAGTTTCCTTATATACTTCATTCCAGTTTTTGGATCTGAGTAAGTTTCAAAATTTTATTGTTTCCTTGGGAATAGTTACGGATTTCTTAGTAAGTTGTCTGTTCCGCAGGTTTTGTTTCTGTTTGAAGTGTTAGAATCTGGGCAGTGTGGTCACTGAAACTTGTATTAAATGTAGCAACAGAAAAACTATGGTTATTTGCATCCATTATTATTGGATCTATTGCAGTGCTTCTATTTTTGAATATTCGTGTTGGTGTATTTACGGTTGTTTGTAAATTGTATGATTTTAGTAGGTCTTTAAATAGATTTTCTTTACTGGATTGTGTGAGGCTATGTATATTGAAGTCACCGCAAAGAATAATGTTGTATGTCTGCGTTTTTTAAATTTTGTTAGAATAACTTCCATATTTTTTAAAAAGATTTTCAAATTCCCAGCAGGGCTTCAATCTGTGCATAAGTCCCATGTTTTTATTGTTGTTAAGTCAGTGATGGATATTTAAAAGTCTTTCTCTTTTACAAAATTAGTGTGACTGGTGTAGGGTACAAAACAAATTGTATCTTTAATAAAAATGCATGTCCCAACATACGCATGACGTGTGTTGTTTATATTTCAACATGAGCTGCTGGCTAGAGAGAAACGTGGTATATGTGTTATCTAATTGTTCTTTAGTTATCCAGTGTTCTGTGTAGCACAATATTGAAATGTGGTTGAGTTTCTCCTCAAGTAATATTTCTATGTCAGTGAGTTTATTTTTCAGTGACTGTACATTTTGGTGAAGAATGTGAAATAGTTCTTATTTTTGTGTATTGTCTCCTTTCCTGCCAATGTTTGATGCTAAAGGTTATACACAGGAGTGGGTTTTCGGTTGCAATGGAAGTTATGTGTATGAATGGGAAGGGGAGTAGGAAGTGTGAAAGTAGGTGAAGGGCTGAAGAGGAGAAGAAAGGTTAGGTAGTGGTTGAAAGAAGTGGAGTGGGCAGGAGAGATGTAGGAGTAGGAACTGGCGTAGTTAAAAGAGGACTGGGGGCAGGTGAGGTATGTGGAGTGGGCAGGAGAGGAGAGGAGAAGGAACTGGTGGAGGTAAGAGAGGTCTGGATGCTGGTGAAAGATGCGGAGTGTGTGTAAGAGGGTTGTGGATGGAGAGGCAGAAGAATGGGCGAGAGATGGATGTGGGGTGGCAGGGGTTCCCAGTAGGTGCGAGATGAGCATTACTTCTAGTTAATTACACCTCGATAAGATACAATGTGAATTACAACGCACGTTGCAATGCCCATGTGACACTGACCAAATTTTCATAAGTTATCGATTCTCTCGAGTTTCAATATTTCTGTTAACAGCGCCGATTTTTTTTTGTGCAATATAGGTTAACATTATGCAACACCGCACCGGACGGCACTAGCACTTCTATTTGTTCACCTGTAATGTCCAAAATTCCAAAATGAAGAGTTGAAATCAAATTGAAGACTTACATGTTATACTGTGTTAAAGGGACTTACATAATGAACATAGGCCATTCCTCATCAAAGTGCTCAAAAAAATACCAAAATTTGACCTTCATATCATTTATTTTCTATGCTAGGTAATATGTGGATCAAATAAGTGAACACATGTATTTTTTTTGTCTACCTCTTCGGAAATATCGCAAAATGATATTTGATAAAAATGATGAGCATGTTCAAATTTTATTCGTAACTTAAAAATATATTTTTTCATATATTTCATATTCATATGATTCATAAGAAATCATGAACCATGAACAGGGGGAAAAAAAAGAAATTTATTTATTTAAACGTAAGAAATACATTTGATGCTTAACTCACTCACACTACTGATTTCTATACATTTTAGAGATCATTAACTCAGACACAGTCATTGGGCGACTCAGTTTCTTCACTTGGCTTTATATCACTTTTGTCCATGAAAAGGAAGTCATCATCTTCGCTGCCGTCAAGGGCATTTGAGATTGAACACTTTTTAAAAGCCCTTGCAACGTCTCTAGGAATACTTTTTCATGCAGCATCTATCCAAGCACACACTCGCAACAGACTAGCCCGAGATCACTGAAAAAGAATGACTTCTGGAGTTAGTCCCGGGCTTGGTGGCCAGAACCTCCGTGTCGCAAGTGGCAACACCACTTTACCCCAACTGTCACTCTGATTAAAATTCTGAGAATAATATATATTTCAAATTAATGCATGTGGTAGCTTCATGCAGAATTGTACTGTACTTCCTAACGTGTCTGCTGCAGGGCCAACAAAAAATATGGTTGTCTTTACGGATGTCTGGTGTCAGCTACATTCTAGCAACACCATGATACCAGTTCTAAGCCAAGGGTCAATTTTTGAAATACAAACAAGGGGAAAAAAGGGCTACTTACAATGGGGTAAATACAATACGTGTGAAACATAAATGTAGTTTCACTATTCTTGTTACTACACACAAAATTGACTATGACGAGATCAAGCATTTTGGTAGTTATAACTGAAGTTTAGCCACATATCAGAAATTGAAAGGATCTTTGCAAATAAGATCAAAAATCCATTAGCTGGTAAAAAAATGTAATAAAAATAATTTCTCTACATTCTATGTAAAGAATACATAACGTGTAGTACCACCATAAGTCTTCTACCTCATGTGTAAATTACATGCTGTAGTTATTTAGCACACATCTATCTACAGAATAAATTCAAGTCTTCGCAGATATTTATCTTTCACACTAAATTTGTCTTAACTTTCTTTTGTTTAGGTAAATAAAGTCTCAGATATTCAATTTCATAGTGTGAATCTATATAAAAAATTAAGGAAAAGAGAAACCAATGGGAGATTAAGGATTCACTCAAAAAAAAAATTTTATAAACTTTATTATAAAGCCACATAAACTGTGTAAATCAATTCATTTTGGCCAAGCATTTGAACCCCATCATAAAATTATCTGGTGTTTTATTCTGTAAAGGAACAACCAAATAATTGTCCACGTAACAATATTGGAACATAAAATCATGGTTGAAAAACAAGTGGTAAAAAAAAAAGAAACCCGTTTGACTTCAAAATAAATTATTTAAATTAAATATGGTTCATTAAAAGATCAGCCTTTGATGAGTGTATGAAAATGTAAATGGGAAGTCTTCAAATACGTTGAAACGCCACCTTTTCGAGAACCCCACACTGCCAATGAAATACACGAGCCAGCAAGAAGAGCAAGAATACACCACTTCCTAGATTTTGATGGCCAGTGGAATATATTTGTTTTCTTTTGCTGACATTTAACCTCCTAAAAATAAATAGGAAAAAAATAAGCAATTAGAATACAAATCAGATAGGGTTCTTATTGCAATGGTTCACAATTGAAGTATGTAGTGAGAGAGGGAGCTAACTTACAGACCAATAAATTGAGTTTGAGAATAAATGCTTGAAATTATATCTTTTAAGTTAAACACCTACAACTTCTTTATTAATTACTCCCAAATCAACTTTTACATCAGATATATTATTATCTCAGCAAATACTAAAGAAAGGAAAAAACTTTATTCTTCACAAATCAACCATTGGATCAATGAACACACCTTTTTTCTTTTAAGAAATGCTGAAACATTTTTTTCAAAAAACAACTCAATTTTTTTCAATGAAAATATGTGTATGAAAACAGGTTTCACTCTTCTAGGACGTTTTAAAAATTTTATCTCAATTCAGCTATTAGGGGAGCGAGAAATTGAAGAGAAAAACAAGAAGTTTTAGGCCAGACCCCAAGGAAATAGGAAACTGGTACAAGAAAGTCTGTATCATTCTGTTGCAGCTCTATTTCTTAAATATTTATATCTTACATATTTCTAGAATGGTAAAGTCATATTTTCACAATTAAATAAGTTTTTATCTTGAAACTACGGAGAAAAAATACCAATAAAATACAAAATGTTGAGAAAACAAGCCCAAGCAAAACTCTTTCTCACTGGATGCTTGTTTTTAAAGAATACATAGTCAAGAATTTTTTTAATCTATAAGGTTATACACACCTGTTCCAATTCTTGAAGATATTTGCACAACTGATCATGAACTTGATACGCTTGTTGTACAGAGCAAAATACTACTTTCTCAAATGTATGATTAACAGAGATCCCAGGCTGAAAAAATACATTTTCACACTTTGTGTTTATACTGCGTTTCAAGTACGGTATTATTTTTACTAGTGTTTGCTGGTGTCGCAATACATTATCCATAGCTTGAGCATCTTCAGGTCTGCGGTGCAAGAGGAAAACAATTATTCATAATTTTGTTAATTTCATATATACATTACATAAAATGACTTCTATATTTAATTTTGAATTAATTGATGATAATCATAACAGCCTGTGCTAGAACAGCTTAAATGGTTAAGGTTTAGGGCAATTTTTAAAAAATTTTAACTTCATTTTCAAAATTTCAGCAGTTTTAATGAATATCTCCATGTTTTCTATACAATAATTTGAAGAATAAAAATGTCCAAAGGACTTCATGTAAAGTATCCAAAAAAAAAAAAAAGGCTAAATCCTATTCAAATGCACTAGGTGTTAAGTTCAACCAGTTTGATTGGGTAAGATCTATTTTGAGAAAAATTTATAAAAAAAAAAAATTATTATGGAACTTGTTTTCAGACAGACACTTGGAAAGGGAAGGATAAATTGCTTTTGTCTTATGAGGACAAAATATATACATTTCCACCAAAATCTGGACAGCAATTTTTTGCATAATTTTCTGTATAACCTGTGAAAATTAATTTAAACACATAGAAATTAACATTAAAAAATAAAATAAAATAAAAACACTTCTGAACTCCCAAATTTATCTCTCAATGTAAAACCTACCTCATGCATAATATATTAAAAAATCTGATTTGAACAATGGGTAAGCTACCATAGTTAGACTGTATATACTCCAAAGCAATTTTGAATGTTTTTGAAAAAAGTAAATAAATAAATAAATAAAAAACCAAAAACAATCCATAACATTTTTGGGTAAAAGCATGCTTTGGGGGTAAATATGCTAATTTGATTGTTTGCTCAAACGTATTTGTGCCAAATTTAGGGGGTCACTCCAGAGGTACTAATAGATTTGTTTCCAAGATCTATCACAAGAGGAAAATTTAATTGGTTGTTAAATCAAATCTGTGTAAATTTCTACCTTTTCAATGTTTTAAATTTTCACGCAGTGAATGCAATAGAAGAGTGCAGGATGAGCTCCGCATCATAATCTTTGATAATAATTAGAGTTCTGAATCTCTCTCTGTGCAAATAAGGCTCAAGTGCAAATTAGACTTAAGTCATTTAAAATCACTTCGATAAAACAAAAATCACAGCTTCACAATTTGTTCCAATAGTAAATTATAACCTACAATACAAATACAACCTACATAAAAAACATTGCAAATTCTAATACATCTATTTAATCATAAAAACATACTTAAAGTCAGTTTCTGAAGTTGCATCTTGGGTTGAATTTAATTTTTGACCTTTATTAAATTTGCGAATGCAATCCAATATTTTTTTCTTCTTCTTGTCTGATGTAATTCCTATGTAATCAAGATCACTGGCAGTCAGGGTACTCAATTTTTCCAAACCTATTTCATGCCTTTGAAACAGCTGAATTTCTTCACCTGCTAAGCCCAGTCCTAGCAATAATATAATTGTATCCCTGTTGAACTGTTCACTAAACAACAAAAATAAGAATTACATTAAATTAATGCAATAAAAGTATTTCTTCTGTTACAGGTAACTCCTTTCCTAATATTAAAATATTCAATTCATTTTTTTGTAATAATTTAATATTTTATAAAGTTAATAATCATAATATATATAAATAATGTATTCAAAATTAAAACAAACTTTTAAAGTGACCCAAGCATCAATAAGTTTTTTCAAGCTTCATCACTGAAATTTTTCCTACCGAGCATTATCCAAGGGGGTATCATTTATCAAAAGATCTGATTCTCGCAGAAGCACATCAACAACAGGATCGATTTCTTGTTCCTCAGCCATCACACATAGTTCTAGAACAATTAAAAAATGCTGTTGAATCATCATTCAAAAGTATGACTAAGGTAATTAAATTGTCCTTTAATTTTGACAATAATGTTATAGTTTTGTACTCAATAAATCAATTGATATTAAATCCAGGTAAGTCCCTCAAGTGACTTTTGCAGGAGAGGCAATTGAAAGTTTAAGAATTTCTATAAAATCATCAGTAGCATTGAAGGCCTACTTATTGCATTAAGACATGCTGCATATAATACTGTATTCTTATATATTCAAATATATTTGTAAAAAGATAATTATCGGTTTTACTAAAATTTGGAGCACTTAAGTTTTAGACGACATTAAATTAATTTTAGTAATTTCACTGTAATGAGTTTTCCCCCCAAATTAATAAATATAATTTTCATCGTTTTATTTTCATTTCAAAACGAATGACAAAAACAACAAAATAATAAAATTCAAATTCGAGGCGACCCGCGTAGTACAATTATGGCAATTCTTGGCAACTGAAAATCAGTTTCATATCATGAATTGATTGATCGTCAATTACTAACGATCTAACCTAACCCCTCTTCAGTAATAAAATAAAGATACAACTTCACCCACAGATAAATCACATCCAATTGTCATGCAATGTCACTGTTTTTTTCAGCTTTTAAGTTACGCTCATTCTTCATGCTCTTCTCCTTGTTCACTTCCGCTCACTTCTCTCTGCCGATCTGTGACTCTTTCTCCAGAAATCTTGAACCTCCTTGGTCTCTGACGACAACAGTCAGCTCGGCACTAACGAAAGGCGGGAAAGATTGCCCCGGGCAGCTTAAAAATATGAAAGAAGTTTATAATGTACTATAATTCTTAGTGATGACGATATTTTATGGAAAATTGACACCGATATCCATGAAATATTTAGTAGCTCCCTTAGTTTTCAGCCTTACATGGCAAGGCCGTTTTAAAATAATTATGAGTTGTGAATCGGTGATATTTTATCATATGAAAATAATTTAATATTGATTTTGTATCATTCACAATTATTCCCCAAAATTACAATGTCTGACGATAAAATATTTACTATCTGACTCGCTGATATTCTATTTAAAAATTAGTAACAATTTCTTAAGATTTTATTTCCTCACATTTAAAAAATACCACGAAAATACGGAGCGGAGGACCCAAATTAACTTAATTGCTAATTCGTAATAATTAGCACAGATTTTCAGATAATAGATGGTTGATCAGATAATTGATGTGGGGGAGCGCAGCATAAAACAAAAGGGAGCACTACATTTCTCGGACACCGTATCAATTTTTCTTTACATATGACATGTTGCATGTCAACTATTATCAGTATTTCTAAGTTCATTTTTTAATTTTTGAATTTTTCAAATACATTTTTGGATGATGTAGGGGACATTGTCTCTTTCACGTATGTTTGTTTTATCGCGAGAGGTACCGCTGATCTTCCCCCGCTGGTTGGTGAGATTCGGCACCGACCTACGTCGGCTTGGTGGTGGGAGGGTTCTCGAACCAGATATCTTCCACCAGCGGGGCACCGCCCCAAGCCGGACAAGCTCTAATTTCCCGGCATGTGTGGCAGTGTAGTGCATGTGAGTGTAAGTGTATGGAAGTAAGGGGTGAGGAAAGGGCAAGGAAGAGGAAGGAAAGCTCGCGCGCGGCCCATGGCCTGTTTGTTAGGGCTCCGGCATTCGCCTGATTTTGGAGAAGCCACGGAAAACTACAGATCAGAACAGCTGGCTGCTAGAATTCTCCTTCAGACAGCGGCTGAATTCGACCTAGGCGACAAGCTTAGTGCCGAATAGTCTGTCACGGTCGGGACTCGAACCCGGGGACCTCTCGGTCATAGGCAGTGCAGTGAAATTAGTTGATGCTGTGAGCCATCTTTGCCAGTTAATCGATTCGAGACACCGCGGATTCCTAGACGGATGACCGTCTGGAACCCTCTGTTACAAACGGCGCCGAGCCCCTGGTCGAAGGGATAAAAGGAACTGACTCTGACGTTTGATGAGAAAAGACAAAATCTTCAAGGAAGTTTAATATCCAAGAAGGGCTAAATGACATGTTGCGAAGACACAACCAATTTCTTTTAATTGCTATCGAATATCTTTTTTGACGACAAAACTAAAATGAACTCATTTCGATGAATGAGGAATGAATTAATTATTTTAAAAATTGTTTTATATTATTTTATCATTCATTGTGATTATTACTTCTTCCGCAAGAAAGCGTACCCCTTCCACTCAAAAAATTCAAAATGGGTCTACAATCTACTGATCAGCTGTTCCCATTTGAATATTCCACACATCGAAAGGATATTATCTCGCGGGGCGTGACGAACGTTGTATCGAAACAATGAAGAGCCGAACAGTCACGAACAACAGCCAAACAGACGCTGGTCACTCACTGACTATAAAATACAGTCAGTCTCGTGATCAGCAAATTTGCGTACCCAACGCCCTTATATTGGAAATAGGGTTACACCAGTGGCGACTGGTACATACGTTGCAATGTTGCACCACCCAAGATAATCATAAAATACTCTTTATTATTAGAAATACATCGTTTCAATTTAATGTCATTCAATAATCGAAACATAGCAGCAAAATTGAAGTATGAAATCATTTTGAAATCAAAGGTCACCAGTCGAGCGTAGTTTCTGGCGTCTCGTTGCAAGCCAGGCAGCGCACAGGTCGTGTGACATCACGCTCTTACGGAACGTTGGAAAGAGTGGCCACGGTTTAACATTGAAAAACACGAGTCTCCCGGCTCCACGCACTTCGCTATTCGTGCTGGCAGTCATTTCCCTTGCGTTTCAGTACCATAACGGTACCTCAGAAAGCACCACAAGCTGCCACAGTTGCTGCGAACGCGTCGCTGCCTGCACTGGGGACGCATGGGGGGGGGGCTTGAAGGTCGCAAGGCCTGTGGCTCTCAGTGGAGGTGGTAACGTCCACTCGGACAGAGTTACTCGGCGGCACTCACGTCGTTAGCTCCAAGGTGGAGGCAGTGAGAAGGGCAGCCAAGCTCCGTGTTGCCTGCCTTGCCCGGTGACCCACCAGTTGGACCTCTAGCACGCTGACCTTTGGGCGGGATTGGGTGAAGGACTCGTTCCGAATCCCACATTAAAGTCCTGGGAGGAGCGTGAATCCCCCTGGCTTGACTAGGTTCCGGCGATACTCACGTCGATAGCTTCAAGGTGGAGGTAGTGAGGGGACGGATTGGGGTGGCCTCTAATTGAGCTCTTGGATTCGGCGTGGAAAAGGCCTGATATTCTGGTCACAGAGGAGGGACGTGTGCCGGCGCTTTGTGGGTGACGCATAGGTTCGATTCCAGCACCAGCCTGGTGAGCCAGTGGCAGGGCGACTCTACCTAGGCATTGAATGGAAACGTTTCCGAGAGGGGTAACTGCGTTCCAGCGGGATCCGTATTCCAATAATCCAAAATCGTGCGGGACGGCCGCGGGAAGTCAGAATTAAGGCAAAACGCCTAGGTGCATACTCAGGGGATTTTTCCTCACGGCAGAAAATAAATGAAGTGTGTAGCCCACGCTGCACTGGGGACGTGTTCGGTCGCTATTTTTGGTGCCACTGCCGCTACATTCCGGTTGTGCTTCTTTACATGCGCGGGCTGCACATCTGTCCCCCGGATTGAGTACCTTCCGGGGGATATCACGAGCGATCGAGATGGATTCGGAAAGCAAAATCGCCTCTTTTGGAATATTATATTAGATGAGCTTCTTAGATAGCTGAATAAGACGACGCAGTCACATACGCGGATGATCGAGCTCACCCCTTCCCAGGTGGCCTCGCCCCAATGCCGAATCTAAAGCTACAACCCTATTAGAGTTCGTGGCAGCCTGGAGAGATGACTCATCACTTAGACATTGCGGCGTCCCGCCGTCCACCCCCTTCATCGCCACACTGCGTCCGAAGTGTACACGGCTTATCCAGAGGCTAGTACCTCGTCCATGCCGGTTTTCCAAGAGTATACCATTCACGGCTGGCGTAACATGGGCAATTAGATCACTCCGGCCCATTCATTGCGTGCGGGCGGCGATGCGATCTGCTCGGGCATGTGTCGCCCGGTGTGGCGGCGGTGTGGTAGTTGACAGTGGCGCGGCAGCGGTGGCTACCCGATCTTCATATCGCTCATAACTGAGCGTCTACTTGCGTACTTCTTTCGGCGCAAGCGTCCGCTCAAGTTACATTCTCGAAGTCAAGTCGCCGCTCGCATTACATTCTCGAAACCAAGTAGCTCTCCCGAAGGCAACTGCGACTGCTCACGTTACGTTCTACTAGCCGAGTAATGGACGCGAATCTCTCCCGAGACCCTCGCTGGAGATCACGTGGTGCGCGCGCCTTGGATCACCCGATAGGTGAGCGTAGTATCGCGTGATGCTGGGCGTCCAATCGCACCATGGCGCCGTCCAGAGACCGTTGGGCTAACGAATTTTCCTGAATGAGAAAATTTGGGTGGTCACCGACGACGAGACTACAGCGAGACATATCAACGCGCCTCACCTCTGGACACACCCCTTTCTCGAGACACGTAGTCTCTCCGCGTCTGCGTTCCTGAGTAGCTTACCTCGCTAGTTGCAGGCATCTATGCCAGTGTCTAGCTCCCTCGCTTTCGCGAGTTACTATGTTAATAGAAATATATTTTATATTTCGTGGCGAATCGTGGCGTACGTACCTGTCCAATTACATTGTGCCAATTATAAATGAGATTTGAAATCACAAGCATACGAGAGATGGCACATGTTATGAAGGCGCATCGCCCCTTTAAACAAAAACTACACCAACTTCATTTGACAGACCCTCCCATCTGTGACTGCGGCGAAGATCAGGAATACATTTGTCATGTGCCTCTACAGATAGTGGTGTACTAGAGACATGATAGAAACAACACATGGGATCTTGTAAGATACACAAGTTAAATTAACTTTTTTCAGTTGTCGCGTGGATTATTTGTTTGGGGATTTTTTTAATATTAGGTTTGTTGAGTTAAAATGTGCATTTGATGAATGCTTCTGTCTGTTGATTATCCTTGATAGTCCTCTGTGATTGACTGCAGTTTTTTTATGCAAACCTTGTACTTTGTTACGCATGAGTGAATGCGAAAATTCGAACCACAATTTGTTTTTTGGTCAACTTCAATATTACATTCTTGCCTTTACGTACGTAAGACTGAGCTCCTGTCCGAGTTTCTACCACAGGACATTAAAGACATCCAAAACACTGACACTCAACTGGCTCTATACTGAACAAAATTTAAGTACTTATAAGAAGAAATGCGCCAATGACGAGGTAGCCGCCTGGGAGAAGATGGGATCGCAAGGAAGAGCGGTTAAGGCGCATATAAACGATCCGATTGAAAATGCTTTTTTGAAAGATTATAATCTTCTGAAACATGGTCTTTTTATCACTGCACTCCAATTCAATCAAATACTAATAAAACTATTACTCTATTACTAAAACTAAAACTCTTAGTAAAGGAAGGCCTAGGGAGGATGTATACTGCAAAAAGCGCAATACAGCGGGAGAATTCATGAGTCACAACCGCGGTCAGTGCATTTTTACGAAGCCAGTAAGAATAAAGCCATGTTGAGATCAAGAACATCGAAGAGGGGAAGATGCTCCGGAAATCGGGGCCCGTGGAGTCC